CACTTTTATTGAAGGGGTGGTGGGGGGACAAAATAAGGTTAGTTGTGTGATCACAATGACATACTGTGCAAAAACAACGTAGCTACTTTTTGTCTTTAATCGTGTATAATCCAGATTGTTCCCACTGCCTGCTAGTAGGCATGGCTACACAATACCTACAACGCCAGCTCTCAGCAGGCTGAAGCAAGAGTGGTTCCAGCTGGAGGCCAGCTTTGTTTACACAGTAAGTGTGACTCAAAAAGAAAGACAATCTTTGCCATTTTAATAATTTTGCAAAGACAGTTTCATACCGAAATTTACTGTAATTACAATAAATGCAAGGAACAGTTTTTTTGTTTTAATTTTTATTGATAAATATGTCTATGTATTTATAGGATACAATATAATTCAATATAAGTATGTGACATAAAATGGTTAAATTAGGGGAAGGAGTGTTTTCATCTTAACTATAAGCATTTCTATGGCTGGTCTCCATCTTCCCAGATGCCTCTTGGTCACCTGGCACACAATTCACCCTCAGTAACAAAGTAACACTCTGCCTTATGCTTATTACTCCTCACCTCAGTATCTTCCTCAACATCTTTCTACCATTATGTGCGCACAAGACAGAGACACTAGCTGACATTACAGCCCTTATAGCAATGCACTGCTCTCCCAAGGCCTGGGGTCATCCCATCTCTGCATCCTACACCGTGCCTAGAACCTCTGCTTTATATCTTGTGACCTAAGGAGAGGAGAACGTGTTCAAGTGTCTCTCAAATCCTTCCAGAAGCTCATTCATTGCATCAGAGTTTTTAAAAACAAGTACTGATTTTCTTCCAATATAATATTTTAATTGATTATTTGGGAATTTTATATCATGCACCCTGATCACTCTTACTTCCCAGTTCTTCCAAGTTTAGCCTCATCTTTATGACTCCCCCCACAAAAAAAAAGAAAAGAAAAAGGAAACATGTCCAGTGTGTGTTGCCCATCTACTCACCAGAGCATGGTCACACTCCCAGTGGCCAATCCTTAAAGAAAATCAAGTCGTCTTCACCAGCACCCCTGCCAGAAGCCATCAACTGTGGAGAGCTTCACTTGAGCATCCTTAGCACAGATTTTAAGAGTTCTCTTCAATGGCTTCCTGTCTAGGCTGTTACTTTTTTGGCAGTCTCCAGTGGTACAACAGGCCACATCAGTGTGGCTTCTAGGACACTGACCACTGCAATCTGGCCCATGGACACCAATGTGGCTTCAGGCAGCAGCACAGATCACAGAAGATACTTATTTTTTTAAAAAACCATATTACTTTTAAAGACTAAGATAAAAGACACAGGCTGGGAGCTACAGGAGGCGGCTCAGTTGGTGACTTAGTGCTTGCCACACAAGCATGAGGACCAGAGTTTGGATCTCCAGCACCAACATCAAAAATCAGGCACTAAGCTGGGCAGTGGCGGCGCATGCCTTTAATCCCAGCACTTGGGAGGCAGAGGCAGGCGGACTTCTGAGTTCAAGGCCAGCCTGGTCTACAGAGTGAGTTCCAGGACAGCCAGGGCTACACAGAGAAACCCTGTCTTGAGAAAAAAAATAAAAAATAAAAAATAAAAAAAAATCAGGCAATGTGGTATCCGCTTATAATCCCAGAGCTGAGGAGGCAGAGACAGGAAGATGATCTCTAGGGCTTGCTGACTAGGTAAGAGGCCCTGACTCAAAAGAACATGAAGAATGGCTGAGGCAGACTTGCCCTCTGCCCTCCACACACACACATGACCACCACCTCCCCCACCACACATGCAGGGGCACAAGCCAGGCAAAGAAACCCTGGCTGGTTAGCCAATCACTGTCATCGCCAGAATCAACTCAAATACATTCTGATCACAACTAACAAAAGTCCCTTTTCAAGATCCACTTTGAGGCTGGAAGACCTAGTGTTTAAAAGGAGCCACACATCGAGTCCTGGGCCCACTTGGAGATGACAGTATATAAGTTCTTGATCTCAGGGAGCCTGAAATCAGTATTTCAGTTACACAGCAAGCAAAGTCTACAAAACAGCCTGGAAAGCAGGCACAGCTAATCTGACTCTATACAGGGGAAAACGGCAGTTGCAGTGCAGAGATAGTTACACCCCCCCCCCACACACACCCCCCCCCCCACCCAGTTCAAAGACTTTCATTAACAGAAAATGCCATTGCAGAAGTTCAAGCAAAAACCAAGAACTTGAGTGGGAAGATATCTTGGCTAGGGACCAGCACAGTGCCACCAATCAAACTCCAGTTGACGGGACCTTAACAGTCTGGCCAAGACCTTGTTTGGTTTTGATATCAAATGGTCTGATTTGTCTGCAGAGCAGAGCCACAGGTGAAAGGGTCCCTGGTGGCCTAGCCCAGACTTCCCAGTAGGTGATGAGCCATGCTTCAAACACTGCATCGCTAACAGTGGAGTAAGGCAGGCCGCCCAGACAGGGTGCCTGTGCCTCTCTCAACAGAGGGACTCTTTGTGCTGGGTAATAGAATAAATTCGGAGAAATACAGAGTTCTATTCAGCAAGTCCTTTACTCTTTACCCACTTGCAAAAAAAGAAAAAAAAACCTTCCTTTTTCAGATGATAATCTGTTATCAAATCTTATTCCATCATTCTGACTGGTGGGCCGAGGCTAGGGAAGATTACAAGTACTCACATCATTCCTCTAGGCCAAAAGATTAACCCATTCCAGATTACCTCTGAAAAAGCCACTGAAGTGTTTAATGAGTTCTGACAGCAACAAATTCCAAGGTGTGGGGACAAAGACAGCCAGGAAAGTCAGGACTGTTTCCCCAAACTGCTATGTATTACTTGGATGAACACAGGTGGGTTTAGTTTAGGCAGGGTCTATTTCTGACTGGCTTAGAAAACTTGCTAGGCAGAACAAGTTGGCCTCAAACATAAGCGATCCGCCTGACTCTGCCTCTCTAGAGCTCTGATTAAAGGCAAGCACACCACGATGGCTAGCAAACATGGGTATCAAAACAAGCAGTCTAAACGGGTGCAGTGGCTCACACCTGTAATTCCAGCACTTAAGGGGCTGAAGCAGGACTGCAGTGAATTCAAGGCACACCTGGGCAACACAGTGAGAGTCAGAACCTGTGCCTACAGCGAGACCGGACACAGAAAAAAGCCGAAACAAAGCAGAAAAACAGAACATTCAATTTGGCAATGCTAGTCCATCATCTATAAGTAGAATATTAAATAAAACCAAAAATGCTCTCCTAAAGCATTTTTGATCTTCCAAATAACAGCTGCCTCTAATCGCCAAACAACTTTACTGGTGCTCAGACTGAAATCTGACCAGCTCCAGCCACTGACTGGGGAGTTCCAAAACCAGATACCCCACCCCCAATCTCTTCAGCTGCCTGGGAGCCTCTAGAATTCATTGTAAAACAATGGGAGTGTTTTAATTAAGATGAGGGTGGGAAGACTTTCAGGCGTTTTGCAAGAGAATCAGCCCTGGTCTACTTCAAAGGCTCACAGCTTATCTACTTTGAAGGTTACCTTGAGGTGAAAGAGAAGCAGAGATATGTTTAAGCCACTTTATAATGTGAAGTCTGCTGATTGGTGCATGACTGAAAACTCCAGGGAAAAGGAAGTGCAGGCTTTAAGTACTACATTAGAAAAGGAAATAAAGTAACTTCTTCTTAGTAATGGAAAGGCATTTATCATTACAAAAAAGAAAAAAAAATCAAGACTGAGTCAAACACCTAAATCAGAGATGGCAAGGATTGGCCTGCCCCAAACAACCAGCGAATGCCGCCACCAACTGTCTTCAGCCTAGTACCTGCATGTGTACTCTTTGGCTCCTTGGTCGCATCCCTCTGCCCTTTTGCACACTTTACAGAGATTTAAAGAACAAAGGATAAGCTTCCTAGACCAGAGAACCCTTCATGTGCTCTCACTTCTAACCCACCACTGTCAAAACCTGTGAGTCCATTAGAGGGGAGATAGTGGCCACAAGGGCAGAGAGTTTCCACTGACTTAGTCATTCTGATGACTAAGGGGGTTTAATTAGTACCCCTCCGTAGTCATCCCCAAACACACACCCACTTTCCAATAAGAAAAGTGAAGACACACAAACAGTAGTGACACACCCATACTCAAGCAAGGAAAAGCCAGAGGAGGGAAGCAAGTACGATGTGCCAGTTGTCATCCTGTCCCTGGCTAATTGAGGGAAGGGGAAACTAAACTACTGTATTTGTGAGCCTCAGTTTCCTGAAACGTTAAAATGAACGTGAGAAGAGGCAGCCCACATTCTTTAAAGTACTGACGACTACAACAATTTGGTACTCGAGTTTTGTTCTCCACCTCCATCGTCTGGAGACAAGGAGTAATAATACAGTCGGAGCTAAGAAAACTTAGGAGTTCGTGTGCATGTAGAATTTGTTTTGTTAAAATGGCTAACAACAAAGTCCCTATCCTCTGCGCCCACTGTCCCTCCAATTCCACATCCTAAATCAGGTGACCACCACTGGAATAACTCAAAGCTAGCCAAATAGAGGCCCCAGCAGTCACCCTCTCCCAGAGCACAGCGTGAAGGTGGACTGACATAGGAGGAGAAAGCGACCTCCACAGCTGCACCGGAAGACCAACTTCTCCACGCCCGCAGCTCCCGCGCCGGGGGTCTCCGGAGCCGCCGCACGGCCCCGCCGCGTCCCGCCCAGCCCGCCCGGGTCTCTGGAAACCGCTCACCTGCGCAGGGCACAGCAGCAGCAGCAGCAGGATGCCGAGGGCCGGCTGGTGCGCGCCCATGCTGTCGCTGCGCGGGGCTACAGCTCTCAGTCCGGCTTGCAGTGCACCGCGCCGCGGTACTGGCGGGGCCGTATGGGTCCCGTCGCCTGACCAAGGAGGGGGCAGGAGCAGGCGGCGGGCTGCGCGCGCACGGCAGGAAGGACGGAGGCGGTGTCAGGGCTGCTGCCTCTCCGACCCTCCCGGGGCGGGGCTAAACCCTCAGGGGCGGGGCTTGGAGCGCATTACTGGGCCAAGCCCTTTGCCGAGCCACGTCTGCCTGCGCCTTCCACAGACCCGCTAACCCGGCCCTTCTCCGTGGTCTGCGTAGCCCGGCCTCTTGTGGGAGAGTCTTAGATGCAGGTTTTAGGACCCACCCCCCGCCCCCCGACAAAGCCAAGCAGGCAGGCGATCTCCCCGGTAAGTAGTCCAGGTCTTTTGTGCCACGCCGTTCCTGCGCGTCCCTTGGTGCGGTGCTGGCATCTTTCATACCTGGGAGGCTGTACTTTTAAAATCCATTCTGGGATGGTATTCTGGACTCATTCCAGCAACGTCTGTCTTTGATGTTTTAATTTACTGTTCCCCTCCTTTTTTCCCCTTGCTGGGTTGGAGAGGTTAGGCGAAAAGGTTTTAGTGCATAGTATTTTGAGGCAATTTTCCTGCCATTCCTCCGATCACTCGGACATTCTAATCTGTTTCTTTAGGCCCCAATAAGTACTCTGCTCTCAAGCTCAATTTCCTAAAAGGGATCGGTGATGGGGTGTCTTCTAGCCAAGCCCCCAGGCCGTGACGAGCGATGGCCTAACCCCGTGGCAATCCGACAGCGCAGCGTGACGGCGCTTCCAGTACGCGATCTGTTTACTGCTAACCGATCAAGTTTGAGCACAAAACCGCACCACCTACCGGCCGAGGCGGGTCTAGCAGTGAACCTATGCTTACGGTAGGAATAGAAAATATGCAAAAAAAATTAGCAAGAATTTTTTAAAAATCACTTAAAAATTTCAAATTAAAAAAATTACGTAAATTCCACCATGAGGAAATCTCTGTTACACTATTCTGTATTTTCTCTTCTTATGAGTTTTTTTTTCTCTAGGTGAAAATTGTTTTTACATGGTTGAGTCCCAAATAGAAGCTTTTTGCTCTCACAATACCACACCACTTTTCCTTTCCTAGATGTCCTTATATTCCCGAACTTTCCTAGATTCTGAAAATCCTTGACTCTTCTAGTACTCTCTGTTTCCTCTTGGTACTGCATTACAAAAATCTAAAAGCTGTTGGTCATTTTCCTTATGAAGAAATAGAGACGTAAACAGAAGTTCCCAGAAAGAAACTTCACCCATGTAAAACATTCTGCAAGGCTGATTGGCAGATAAAAACTTTCATGTTTTCTGGATAGCTAGTCCAGAGGGCAGGAGAGCAGGAGAGCTATGCCTGCCCCTTCGATGGCTGTAGTACTTGGGAGAGCCATCCCTTCACCTGGCCTGATGGCGAAGGCACGAGTGAACCAGCCCTGAGTGTGTGAGAGCGGGAGGCTTCAGCATTGGGCCCTCTGGCTTGGCAGCACATTGGAGCTGGCTCTGTAGGTGTGGGTGAGCCAGGCCCAAGGGCATGAGGGCTGACCCTTGTCTCCTTTTTATGGCAGCCTAGGGTGACCTAGCTGGGGCAGTACTGGAGAGCTCATCCTGATGGTGCAAGTAAGGAAGAGCCAGTCCACTGACCAGTTCAACTACCACCCAGGCCCAGGCCCAGGCCCAGAGCCAGGCCTCTGAGTTGGCCTACTCCCAAAATCTATATTATCTTCCAATGGTTGGGAGATGTGAAAGGTCAGTTCTGCAGATTCAAAGCTATAATATCTCCATGACACAGGGCAACAACAGGAAAACAGGGAACAATCCAGTTGAAGATCCAATATTGATGGTGTCCTAGAAGCCTGAGATTGCCTCAAACTAGACCAATCACTCATTGCAAAGAACATTTGCAAGTGAAGATGTGTGGACAGAGGGATACACTGTGGGACACACTGTGACACACTACAGCTTCCATGATGAGATGTTTTCTATGCTTTGTTGTGTGTGTGCGTGTGTGTGTGTGTGTGTGTGTGTGTGTGTGTGTGTGTGTTCAGGGTGGGGGGAGGTTGCAAGGACAAAGGATGGTTATGAGAGGATGGGGAGATGAGCAGAACTGGGGTTCATGATGTGAAACTCACAAAGAATCAATAAATAGTTTTTAAAAAGTGTATGTGTTTATGGAGAGCTAGAAACTTGCAGGCCCAGAGTCAAATTATTTTAGGCTCCCTAACTGTGTATCACCTACCTCTGTGTTTGACCTAATACCTTGTGACTATTAGGTAAGTCCTTTTGAAATGTACAATGGAACCCCTTATCGTCTACCTACTCAAAGGCTAAAAATATGAAGAGATAACATCTGAGGCAGATAACAGAGCTCCCTGGATCTGCTGTAATTTCTCTATCAGACACTTACACTAACCTCTTTTAAATGTGCCTTTATTATATTTTTATCCTGTTACTATAAAAACTTCGTGAAACTGCTACCATATTGGCACATGATATTTGAAGCAATCTGAACCTGTGTCCTAGGGCCGTGGTCACTCTCATTCCTGTGTGTGTGTATGTATGTGTTTATCAGTTTTTATTTTCTGTGTATGTGTGTTTTGTCTGCATGTAGGCCCAAACAGTACTCAAGTTTTTGTAATCATTTGTAGAAAATGGGAGCTATTCCCTGTGCTGGGGGTTGAACCCAGAGCTTTGGCTATTCTAACAAGTGCTCTACCGATCAGCTACATTCCCAGCGAGGCAGGCTCTCACTAAGTTGTCTGGGAAGCCCTCAAACTTATAATCCTCCTGCCTCAGCCTCCTAAGAGATGGCATACAGGCATATAGCAACATCCCTTGCAAATAATTTTACATTCCTTAATCAAAGTAAATATGCATTTAAATTTCGATTGTTGTTAAACTGCCTTCCAAAGAGGTTTCAGGCTTTGTCAGAAGCAGGTGGAATTTCATGACTCCCTGCTCCCTCATCAAGACCAACATTTTGACAGGTAAAATATAAAATCTGTAATTTATTTTATTTCTTGTTTTTGAAATGTTCACAATTTAATTTGTATTCTTTTAATTATAAGAATAAAGTCTTTATTTGTAAGTGGCTTTCTATATACTTTTATGAGGTATACTTATTTTTCTTTTTCTTTTTTTTTTTTTTGGTTTTTTTGAGACAGGGTTTCTCTGTGTAGCCAGGGCTGTCCTGGAACTCACTCTGTAGACCAGGCTGGCCTCGAACTCAGAAATCTGTCTGTCTCTGCCTCCCAAGTGCTGGGATTAAAGGCATGTGCCACCACTGCCCGGCTTCATATTGTTTTATAAAAGCTTGTGGATATGTGTGTGCTTGTGTGTGTGCACGTGCACAAGTGTGTGCGTGTGTGGTATATATGTGTGTGTGTGTTCTCGCACATGTATGCACATATGTATGTACATGTGTGTGTGTCCGTTCTTGTGTACATGTACATGTGTGTGTATGGAGTTATCTTAGTTAGGACCTTCATTGTTGTGAAGACACACCATGACTTAAACTCATAAATTTCATTAGGGCTGGCTTCCTGGTTTTGAGGTTCAGACCGTTATCACCATGTCAGGAAGCATGGTGGCACACAGACAGACATGGTCCTGAAGAAAGGAGCTGAGAGTTCTACATTTTGATCCTCAGCCATAGACGGATACTGTACCACATAAGGCATAGCTTGAAATGAGAAACCTCAAAGCCCACCCCCACAGTGACACCCTTCCTCCAACAAAGCTATACTTCCTAATAGTGCCACTCCCTATGGGCCAAGCATTCAAACACATGAGTCTATGGGGGCTGTTCCTATTTAAAGCACAGGAGGCTAGAGGGGTTGCTTAGATGCCATTCAGTGTGTGTGTGTGTGTGTGTGTGTGTGTGCGTGTGTGTAAGATTTTTCAACTTTTATTTTCCATGTATGGGTGTTTTGCCTGCATGTATGTCTATGCCCCATATGACTGTCTGGTGTCCATGGAGGCCAGAAAAAGACATTGGGTCCCCTTAGAACTGGAGTTAAAGTCACCTGTAAGCCACCATGTAGGTTGTGGGAACCAAACCTAGGCCCTTTAGAAGAGTAACAAGAACTCTTAATCACCAAGCCATCTCTTCAGCCATCCCTTCTCCTTTTAAAGATAATTTTTAAAAGGTTTATGAGTCTGCATAAGGGTAGGGGCACAAGCAGAAAGAAGTGTCAGATCACCTGTAGCTGGAAAGCCACACCTACACCAACTTGGCCACACTTCTTAATAGTACCACTTCCTGGGCCAAGCATATTCAAACCACCAGGGAGTGGCACTATTAGAAGGTATGGCCTTGTTGGAATAGGTGTTGCTTTGTTGCAGGAAGGGTGTTACTGTGGGAGTGGGCTTTGAGACTCTCCTCCTGGCTGCCTGGAAGCCAGTCTTCTGCTGTCTGCCTTTGGAAAAAGATGTAGAACTCTCAGCTCCTCCCACACCATGCCTGCCTGGGTGCTGCCATGCTTCCACCTTGATGATGAACCTCTAAACCTGTAAGCCAGCCCCAATTAAATGTTGTCCTTACAAGAGTTGCCTTGGTCATAGTATCTGTTCACAGCAGTAAAACTCTAATTAAGACAAAATCTTTCATTTTTGTTGTTTTCAAGACAGGGTCTCACCATCTAGCTCTGCCTGTCCTGGAATCACTGTGTAGACCAGGATGGCCTTGAACTCACAGATTCATCTGTCTCTGCCTCCCAAGTATTGGGATTAAAGGTGTGTGCAAGTATGCTCTGCCTAACAATAATAAAATCTTACTATAGTCAAATAACTGTGGGGGTTTTTGACCCCCTAAAATAAAGAGTCCCTTCTCCAGCACAGCCCAAGATCCCCAGCTGATTTGGAAACTTCTAAGTATATATGAATTCAAGTGGGTTAAGGGAATAAAGTGTGCCTGAGTACTGCACAGAGGGAAAGCTCGCCAAGTTCCTACCTTGAAATCTAGAGTTCAGCCATTAGAAGTAAGGAGAGTTGGGCCTTTGTGGTAGCAAGATGTAACAAGTTCATCTCATGAAACCTGGGCCACTGCTAATGAACTAACTCAGCACCCCTTACCTGTGCTGATTTTTTAACATTTTACTCTTGTCTGCCATAACAAAACAGCAGAGACTAGGTGAGTTCAACAGCATGAATTAATTTCTCACAATTGTCAAGGCTGAAGAGTCAAATGCCAGATAGGCTTGGTCCCTAGGAAGGACTCTCTCCCTTGGTTGTCAGTGTATGCCATCTCTCTGTGTCCTCATCTGGTTACCCCTCCATAGCACCATGTACTTAATCAAATACCTATTACTGCATGGGGTGAGGGGATGGTTTAGCCAACAAAGCATTTGACTTACAAGTGTGAGGACCTGGGTTTGAGCCCCAGAACACAAATAAAAATGCCAAGTATACTGGTACCGACTTGGAATCTTAGCCCTGGGTGATGGAGAGGATAAGCCCTGAGCTTGTTGGTCAGCCAGTCTAGTGAGGAGCCTCCCTGACTCCATTTTGAAGGCAGGAGTCATTTTGTTGTATTGTTAAAAATAAATTTCCATTTACTGTAAGAGCTGACTTTAAGTTTTAAAGTTTCTGTTTCTTGAAACTTGACCTACCCTAACTCATGCCTTGATTTGTTTTTGAGACTACTCTGACCCTCCCTAATCAGTGACCACATGATGATGACTGTTGGTTTTTTGTTTGTATGTTTGTGTCCCATTGTCTTGTTTCTGTAAAACTGCTTTGCAACTATTCTTGATTTTTCTCCTTAAAAGGCCCTAAGAAACAGTCTCAGGACTATCTCCTTCTAACCTGACTTAAGAGGCAGTTGCTGGCCAGCTCTCTGGTGACCCCAATAAAATAAAGCTTTAAATTCAGCTCAAAATTGTGATAGTGGTCTCTAATTCTTGCCTGGTAGAATTAACATTTTTTTGGAGACCCCAGTGAAATCAGACCATCCACTCAAATACTAAAGCCAGACCCTCACTCCAGGACTCTGGGACCTCAGGAGGCACACACCTTGGGCCATCCCAAGGCTCTGAGGCAGGCTTTTGGTTTTGTAGACTATCACAGTGAGCAGCTGTGCTGAGAAAAACGGCGAGTATCTTTAGGGCCTCCCCTGGTAACTTATAGGAATTTTCTGTGTTATCCGGTTCTGTTGGGATCCCAATCTGGGACAAGGAGGGGTCTGAAGAGACTCAGTATTCTCCTGTCCAGGCCAAAAAGCCAGATGTTGCAATGCTCACCTCAAGTTCTTGGTCTGGTTTTGTGTCTTCTGTTTTGTCTTTGGTTTCATTTTTACTGTCTCTATATCTTGTACTTTCTATGTTCTGTGTTAGGTGGTTTGTATTGATCTTGAAGTGACTTAATGGACGAACAATATGTGTAATAAAAATAGCAAGCTTAACAGCCCTCTAGCCAGTTCTAAAGAATTTTAACGGCCCCGGGCAGTGGTGGCGCACACCTTTAATCCCAACACTTGGGAGGCGGATTTCTGAGTTCGAGGCCAGCCTGGTCTACAGAATGAGTTCCAGGACAGCTAGTGCTACACAGAGAAACCCTGTCACGAAAAAAATCAATCAAACAAAAAAACAAACAAAAAGAATTTTAACAGACTTTACCTCCCTGTAGTCAAAGAGGATTATGGTTATCCTATCACCAAGAATCACCTCCAAACACTCTGTGAAACTAAATGACCCTCATTTGGTGTTGAGTGATCCCCTGAGGATACTTCTGATTCTCAGCTAACCTGGACAATGGTGAATGTCACCCTCTGTAAGCCTGGCCACCCAGATCAGATTGGATACATCTTGCCTTAGGCTGAAGCAACTTCCAGCCCACCCGCCTCTGGATGGAGGTTTGTATAGTCTGTAATGGGCAAGGTGGCCAAGCCCTGTTTGTTGGCAGCTGGGGCCTCTGAGGGTCTGTAGCAGAGTCCCACAAACCCTGATGAAATCCACTCTGCAGGACTTACAGGAGGAAGAGCCTTCCTCCCTCCATAGAACCATCTCACCCTCCTTCCTCCTCACCTTAACCTCCACCTTCTCCCCCATCACAGCCTTACTCTGCCTTAGTCTGTTTCAACTCCTCTCCACTCTGCCTCTCCCTCTACTTCAACCCTACCCTACCATCTAGTTCTTCCCTACCTCCCCCTGTCTTTTCCCCTCCCCACACTCACCAGGGGTCCCCGTATAGCCCTCCTGACTCCTCCTACCCTCACTCTGGGCCTCCACCACCTTCTGTCTTTGCTCTCCTGCAGCAGTTTTCTGACAACCATTACCTTTCTCCACTACAGATCTTTACAACAGGAAGAACCAGAACCCTGCTTTCAGCACTAATCCTGACTTAATTTCTCTAACATATTCTATCTCTTTCAATCACCTCCATACAGGAGACAACTTTCAGCAGGTTCTCCATACTAATGAAGAGAGGGAATGGATTCTCATGAAAGCAGTTGACACACTCCCAAAATAGCTTCAAAGACTGACTGATGACCAAAAGAAGAGGGAATTGACCAAGGTCTGCCAATATGGAGGCCACAATGGGGCAAAAACACAGACTTAGGTAGGAGGTCCCTTGACCTCCAGGTCAAGGTTCTGCTGGAAGGGATGAAATGGGCAGCCTGAAGTCCCACTAAGTCTAAGGTAGCAGATGTGAAACAGGGTCCCGAAGAATCACCTTCAGCTTCCCTGGAGTGCCTCCTGGAAATTTATCGCCCCCGTACACCCAGAGGACCTGGCAAATATCAAGTCTATTAACCTTACGTTTGTTACTCAGTTGACATACATAGAAAGCTACAAAAAATGGATGGGTTAACAGGAAAGAATAGGTCAAAACCATTAGAAATAGCCCAGAAGGAGTTGGATAGCAGAGACAATAAAGAAGATCTTTTGTCAAAGAAGTTGGAGCAGGCCACCCTGCTGCACTACAAGCCCCATCCACTTCAACTCTGCCCATGCACCCCATGATAAAAAGAGAAAACCTTTGCAAAAAGATCAATGTGCCTACGACAAAGAAATGGGTCAATGGAAGAATGAATGCCCACGATGAGAGCATATAGGACCCCCAAATCCAAGCCATTCCTAGCTATGGAGAATTAGCAAGGCCAAGGCTCCTCTGAACTAGGCCTCCAGGAGCCTATGGTAACCTTCACAGGCAAACCTGTGAATTTTCTGGTGGACATGGGGGTATTATGGGAATTCCTAGGACTCCTTACCAATCAAACAATGGAAGTATGGCGGTAGCAGGGAATATTAAAGGATGTAAGTGGACCACTGACTTGACAGTTAACTTAGGACAAGGAGCTATGACTTTTATTGTTAATTGTCCCTACCCTTTAATGGACCAGAACATCTTGAACAAGGTCCAGGCAATAATACTGTTTTCAGGAGACATTCTTAGGCTGTAATTGGGAGGCCCTGCTAAGGCTTTAACTATAACCTACCCAGTAAAGGAGGAATATTTCTCCTCCAAAATACAACCCATTTCCTAGAAGGGGAAGGGAAGACGTTGTAGATTTGGAAATCTCTATAGTTTGGGCAGAGGACAATCCTCTTGGCTTAACTAAATATGCCACTCATCATAGTGCAACTGACATCTGGGGCTATGTCCATTGAATCAGGCAATACACATCTGCTCAGAAGCCGGAAAGAGGTCAGAGTTCACATCAGGCACCTGCTTGAAGCAAGCATGCTCACTCCTTTCCAGTTGGTCTGGAATACCCCGTAGTTACATGTCCGAAAGTCTGGAACTCAAGATGATCGACCAGTATGAGAGGAGTGAACAAGTGTGTAGAAATCATTCACTCAGCTGTTAAAATCCTTACACTTTGCTCAGTCTATTAGCACCAGAACATAAATTTACATTGTATTGCTCTTTTAAAAATGCATTCTTCTCCATCCCCCTGTCAAAATCAAGTCAGCTAGCCTTTGCATTTGAATTGGCCAACCCTGAACTGGGGATATCAAGACAATTAACCTGGACCAGACTGTTACAAGGGTTCAAAACCTCTCCCATCATCTTTGATGAAGCACTTAACCGAGATTTAGGTCTCTTTACTAAGTACTGTGAGAGAAGCTAGCCTCAGTACTTGGATGCTTTACTATTGGCCACTAAAAATGAGGAGAATTGATCAACAGCCACCAGAGGCCTTTTGGAAACTTTAGCCCATAGGCTACAGAGTTACAAAAAGAAAGCCCAAGATTTCTTGCTCCAAGTTGCCTGCTTTGGGATATGAACTGAGAGAAGGGAAAAGCCTATTATTCTAGGCCCGCATAGTGGCCATGATGCAAATCCCAGCTCCAACCACTAAGAGACAAGTGGGAGCTGTTAGGTATTGTCATCTTTGGATACCTGGGTTTTCTGATATTGCCAAACCCTTGCAGTCTGTTCTGGCTGGGGTAATGCTCTTAGGGAATGGACTGAGGACCATGAACATGCCTTTAAGAACTTACAGAGATCCTTGGACAGGCCCCAGCTTTAGCTCTCCCTGATGTCTCCAATCCCTTTCACTTTTATGTCCAAGAAAGAAAGGGGATTGCCAAGGGAGTCCTGACACAGACTGTCCCTGGAAAAGGCCAATAGCTTACATCCCAAAGAGTTGAGATCCTGTCTTTAGATGCTCCCATTCCCCATTTAAGAGCTATTGCAGCTGTCAAAATTCTTGTAAAGGAAGCTGACAAGCTCACAGTGGACCTGACTCTATCACTAACAGCCCCACACTCACTCTGGGGAAACCCTGCTGAGAGATGCCACCAACTGATGAGTGGCAAATGATTCTCTGAATCAGTATTCAGCCCTTCTGTTAGATAAGGACAGATTGACCTTTGATAAATCCTTTACCATCAGTCTTGCTGTGCTGCTGCTGGATGATGACCCTGGGTAACCATGACTACACTTTGTTGTATCATCCTCAGTGCAAGGACAGTAGAAAAGATGAATAGAACTTTAAAGGATGTAAATGTACTCTTGAGACTGGCGGTAACTGGGTTGAATTCTTGCACTAAGCCCTTCTCAGGATCTACTGTACCCTTTACCAAGAAAATTCACCCTCTATGACATACTCTATGGGCAACCTCCTCCCATGATCCCTCGGGTATGTGCTGGACTGTTATCAGATTGCTCCAATCTCAGAATCCTTAAAAAGATTGCAATTAACCTTGGATAAGATTTTCCCTCATGTCCAGGGTGCTCAATCTGTTGGGTATCACTTGCCTGACCACTCATTTCAGCCACAGCTGTATTGATCAGCGGCTTCAAAACTGACCATCTTGGACATAGATGGAAAGGACCTTACATCATGATTATCCAGGTTCATACTGGTGTTAGAGTTGCTGGTGTTCCTACCTGGATTCATTATATCTCAGGAAAGAACCTGAGGAAGCCACAGAAGTGGAAAGTAACTGAAAAGACCACTACAAACCAAACTTTCTAAGTTTTGACTGTCTAATATAACCTTAAACATTGTGTTCTTGCTGTTGGATTCCCCACCGTGATTGTCCTATGGCTAACAGTTTTTCAGTCTTATTTTCAACCCATGTAAACAGAACCTAAATGTATCTTGACAGAGAAAATAAAAGTCACCCCTCTCACAGGAAACACCCTGATATTGTCTTTGTCATGCAAAAGATTGTTTTTATCCAGTAAGGTCATAGTTTGAACAAAAGAAGGGGACCAGTCTTGGGATGGACTAATGTAACTGACCAATCTCAACATAATAATACAGACTTCAACATAATAAAATATTTTTAAAAGGTTCTGATATCAGAAATTACAGGTGTGTTAAAATGGGAAGGGAAAAGGATTAAATTTAACATGCCCAGAAGAACCCTGTCTGTAACTCATAACAGGACATAACCTCTGGCCCCATCCAGTACTAACAAACCAACAAGAAAACTCCTTCTGTGTCAGAGGAGATTCTTCTAGTCCTGGGTTCTTGTCAGAGGCAGCCTTGCTAATACACTGAAGGCCTAAAATCAGCCATAGGCCTAAGTCAGTCTGCTAACCCAAAGTCTTGGTCTCTGTGGAAAAACACTGAACAGATAGCTATAAGATCTTGTAAACTGCTGGGCAGTGGTGGCTCACGCCTTTAATCCCAGCACTTGGGAGGCAGAGGCAGGCAGATTTCTGAGTTCGAGGCCAGCCTGATCTACCGAGTGAGTTCTAGGACAGCCAGGGATACACAGAGAAACCCTGTTTCAAAAAAAAACCCAAAAAACAAACAAAAACAAAAAAAAAGATCTTGTAAACAGGCAGCTTTTGTGGAAATTTACCAGCCTGTATAAGAACTAATAGTCATAGATCTTGTAGATAGGTAGCCTTGGTGGATAGTACCAGCTTAGATAGATAAGGACAAGTGAATCCTAAGCAGAATCATATGACCTGTCCCCTGAACCTTCACCCAGCCAATATTCTGTTCTGGAAAATATTTGTACTCCCCCTAAACACCTACGCTCCTTCGTCATCCCCTTCCCCACATCCAGCCTTTATGTGTATATAACCCCTGTGTGAAAAAGGAAAAATTATGATATAGACAAATCGTGGTTCTTTGCATTCACCTGTTTCCCCATTCTCTCTTTCAGGTGACCTCTCCGGACTCCTGTTTAATGCCCTGCTGGACAAGGCAGGTTCTTAAAAAGGAATTTGTATGAAATAGAAGTTTCATATGCATATTAAACAAGGATAACAGGGGACAAACAGATCATGCCCCCACGGATGTTTTCAAAGTTGTGGCTAATGTTCTCATTAGTAACGTCTTTTTCCTCCACTAGCTATGTTTGATTGCACTACTGTTCTTCTTAGTGCAAATCCACTTGTCACCATACCCTCCTCTTAGTAAACAGTTGCCCTCAGAATAGACTTTCTCTGTGGATATGACACTTATTCTATACTCCCTGCTGTGTATAAGGGTTAATGTGGGCTAGGACATGTTACACACTTTACTCAGCAAATCTCTACAAGAGATCATCCTGAGAATTGCCATGATTCCTTACATCTATTAGATGTCACTGCAGCTGCCACCATGGCCTTTCTGTTCCCTGTCGCAGAAGCTGTTGTTGGACTAAAACCAGACATTTCTAAAATAGCCTGTGTAATTTAAAAACTACCAATATTACAGCAAAAATATTAGCTAAAATTAATCAAAAAATGAGAGAACTGAGAACAATGCTTCTACAAAGTAGAACTACTATAGACTACCTCTTATGTAAGCATAATCTTAGAAGCTGTCAGCAATGTACCGAAGTGTGCTCTTTTAATATTTGTTTTCTCTATATTGACAACCATACTGATGATGTACATAGAGAAACAGACAACATTTTTCAAACAAACTTTGGCTGGCATCTCTGGTTAGGATGGCTCTCCCCCTTCATCAGCTCTCCAATTTTATGTCCACTGGTTATCAAAATTGGGACCCTGCACTCTCTAACATGTCACTAACTTGATCACTCATCAGATAAATGATGCTAGAATCATATAAGTGTTTTTATTGAGATGTATGTGTGTGTGCACATGCACACACACACACAAGCACGCAAATGCTCATAACACAAACTAAGTACAATTCCAGGTGACTAAGCCTTTCCTTGTGCTTGCCTGCTTCCACTCTAGAAAAAGGAAAATGTGTTACGTGAGTGGTGGAACTCTGTAGAGCCAGCAGTGGCAATTTGCTAGTGTGTAACCACTAAATTGTAAGCTTCCAATCTGCCAACCCTGGAAGTTACACCACATCCCATGACTGGATCACCAAGACTTCAGCATCTAGAATAGAGTAAGTAAAAACTATCTGAGCAGCAGCCCCATTTCTAAATCAGTCATAGCTTCCGACATTGAAGTCATGTGTTGTAGTTATAAGCTGTTTTAAGTGAAATGTCTATAAAATTCAGTTTGCTTAAATAGGAAGCTTTAAAAGTCTTATTGAAGAACCAGTGGCTAGAGAGATGGCTTGTCAGTTAAAAGCACTTGTTCTTGCAGAAGTACCCTGTTGCAGCTCCCAGCACCAACATGGATAATTCCAGTTCCAGGGGTCCAAAAACCTTTTCTGGTCTCTGTATACACCAAGTATGCATGTGGTACACATACCTGCCTCTGGGCAAAATACTCAAAATCTAAAAATAGAAGTCTTATTGCAGAACCTCAAAGAATTGAAAGTGTATGTTGAACACAGACATGTTCAAGCATGTTCAAGGTATGTAGGCATCATGGTATATGTTTGTAATACCAGCACTAAGAAGATAGGAGGATCAGGAACTCAAGGTCATCCAAGTTTGAGGTCAGCCTTTACTGGGTTTTATAAAGAAAAGAGGTCCCTCTTTGGAGGCTCAAGATCCAAGATTGGCAGTCTTGTCTGTTTAAGTCATGGTGTGAGATTCCTGGTTATATCAAAACATGGCAGGTGGCATCACACAGAGGGAACGCATGTAACTATATTTCAATATGTGCTGAAGAAGTTACAAGAGAGGAAGCTTTCTTCCTGGGAAGAAGGCAGCACCTCTCCAACAACTTTTTCTCTTGAAAATTAATCTACTCATTGGAGATCCAACCACATGAGACCAACACTAAACCTTTCATGAGGGTTGTCATGGACCAGTCACCTCATAGTAGACTCTATCTCCTAAAGGGTCCCAGCAACTCAACACTGTTCTGTTGAGGAATTAAGCCCCAACACGAGTTGTAGTGCAGCAGACCACATTCTAAACATAGAACCACACACCTCTTTGCTTTTGCTGTATTTTACAATATGTTGAGGTACAAGTAGACACGGGCATGAGCTAGTGTGTGACACCAACTCGAAAATTCTCCCATTATGTTCTCTCAATCGTAAGTTCTCTCAATCATAAGACACTAGTGATGTAATTATCTTGCTGAAGGCCAGTCTCAATAGCACAGGTAAACAGAGGAGGGCAGAGTCTGGAGTTCCCCTCTTCTGAGGGAGTAAAACTTAATTCTCTGGGGCCAGTGAAATGGGGCAGAGGGAGAATCAAACAGACACACATACACACAGGCACACGTACACGCACATGTACATACGTACATACACACATACACACATACACACATACATACACACATACACACATACATACACACATACACACATACATACATACATACACACACATGCATTCACACACTGGGTGGGTGGTTACATACACCCACATACATGCATTTTATGGATGGATAGAACAAATCACCAATGAGCATGCTACAACAAAATTCACACATACTCATATATACACATATACATGTTTGGTGGATGGAGCAAACGCCAACAAGTTGACTGCAGCAACTTTATTTTTTCTCTTAGCCTTTTTATACCATCCAAGACAAAGTTCTCTATGTAAGAAAAAGATTACCTCATAGCCATAAGTTACATATTCTTTAAAACATATTCTTCAAAAAGAGACTAAAATCATTACACAAAAGGAAATTACAACAGGATTATTGATTATGTATTCTTCTTTTGAAACTAAACATTTCCCATCTATCTTTCTCTCCACAAGTTCAAAGTAACCCCAAAGCAATAATTCATTATTGATTAACAAAGTTTAAGCAAACCAATCTATAGCAGCAAGTATTTTTCTGATGTGTAGCTGGCAACGATTTGTATTTACCAAGAACTAGATCATCCTCTATCTTACATCTTACTTTGAAGTCTTGTTCAGCTAAATTGGCTAATTATCCATTCTCCATTCTTATACTCCTAATAGAGTTACTTTTCTTCATTTAATAGAGTTCATTTTCTCCTGTCTTCTCATGGTGTACACTGAACCTGTGGCTTTACCCCTAGATCACAAGACCCAGTAACTCAGAGCTACCTAGAATGAAATGCTTTCTTTGATCATTAACTTGTCCCAAGTCTATTTTTTCTCTCTAAGACAATTACGTGCTTGTAACACATGAAAGCTCACTGTGTTCCTTTGTCACCTATGCAGCCTTTGTTTCCTATTCTACAGGGAGGGAGCTTATTCTGATCTTGATTCTAACTTTGTTATATCTTTCTGGCAAAACAACTTAAACTATCTCCTTAAACTTTCTATCAACTACCTAACTTCCTAAAACTATTTAAATTGAATCAGGAGTTTCATTCTAAACCACAAAATTATTAATTTATCTAAACAATATTATTTTATGAAAGTTCATCTTCAAATTGATCTTCAGGAAATTTGCCCAGCAAAGTGGGCTGTCACCCAGGAGGTAATTCCAGCAGGCTACAGGCAGTGAGAGTCTCTCCATGCCCCGTCACACCGTTCCAGATATATGAGGAATATAGCAATGACAAACATGAGAAGGCACAGCAGTAGCAAGAAGCAACCCAGGGTCAAAGCCCCTTGGGGCTGTGCATCTCCAGGGCACACCTGTCACAGCTGAGAAAGAAAACAAAATGGTGGGCCATCTTCAGGAAGCTTATTTGCCACTGCAGCTCTTCCTGTATGACATCAGCCACTATCCTAGCAGGATTGGAAGATATTCTAAAAAGAGAGTCTTGTGTCCCCCACTCTGGTGAACAAATTATTAAAACAACGGTCCCAGATGAAGTGGAATTTCCCCAGAACCTCATGCTGGAGAAGGGAAAGGCTACAGCTCTGATGCCCAACGGAAGAGAAACTTGTGTCCAGGAAGTGATCCACACAACTCTAATTGCCAAAGCATTTATCAGGACAGACTAGAGCCTAGGCATCTGTGAGTCAGTGATTGGCAGGAGACAACCTTATCCAGGACTGTCTAGTTACACATGTCTCTTGGACTCTATTTAAACCTAAACCTCATGTCAGTACTCTCCAAATGTACCGGGGAGGGGAGGGGCATCTCAGGGACTCTTCCCCATGTGGCCATATCAAATAAATGTCTTTTCTTACTTTTTCACGATCTCCTGCTTCTTTAGTTGGCTTATTGAAGATGCATGGCTGAGTTTGGCTTGTTTGGGCTGCCAGAGACCAAGCTCTGTCTTCAAAACTCCAAACAGTTTCAACAACACCTGTTGCATATGGTCAGTGGGAGCAAATGAGATTGTCTATACCAGGTCCTTACCACCCATGTATCCTGTAACAAACATTAGCTTTTAATTAACCTGTGACACATTCCCTCCCAGCCTCCATAACCACTTGGGGCATTCAGCCAGTTCCTGCACCATGACCACCTAGCTAAGCAGTTAGGAACTCAGCGACTTATTGCACATGCAGGCCCATCTCAAATTTGCAGCATCTCCAGCCCTCTGAGCAGCCTTGTATTCGGGTTATTCTTTCCTTCTTCCTTGCCATTCCTCCATGGCAGCATAAAATGACTTGTAGCTTCTTGTTGCAGAGGATGGGACAGAGGAAAGCCAGAGCTACCATGGGGGGTCTTCCCTAGATTCCTAATGTCTCTGCTATAAATGTTTCCTGTTCCCCAAGTCCTGTAAACTGGTCAGCTATTTCACAAGAGAAAGTTTGCAAAGGGCTGATGGGCAGGGAGCCCCCAACAATAACAATAGAAGCTAGGTACTTCTACTTCCAATGTCTTTAGTGACTACCCCAGGAAGTTTCGTTTGAATGGAAAACTTTGGGAATTGATCACACACTTGTAGCAGTAGAAACAAAGGTTGATTAGTCCCTTTAGTGAAATAAAGCTCAAAGTTTGGAATCTTAAACTCCAACCTATTTACTAACAAAGTTGAATTTACTAACAGAGTTACTCAATCTGAAATTTTATTCTATTCTAAATCACACAGGGGCCAGTGAAATGGCTTAGTGGTAAAGACACCTTCTGTCAAGCTTGAGGGCCTGAGTTCCATTTCCAGAACCTACAGTGGAAGAAAGAATCCCTCTGTATTGTTTTCTGACTTTCAAGAGTACTGTGGTGTCCATAAACAATAAACGTAAAAAGAGGCTTTAAAAACCACAGAAATAAGCCAGTTAGTGGTGGCACATGCCTTTAATCCCAGCACTTGGGAGGCAGAGGCAGGCAGATTTCTGAGTCCAAGGCCAGTCTGGTCTACAGAGTGAGTTCCAGGACAGCCAGGGCTACACAAAGAAACCCTGTCTTGAAAAACCAAACCAAAACAAAACAAAACAAAACAAAAACAAAACAAAAAAAAGCAACAAAGGCAAATTGGGAAGTGTATTTATTTTATGTATAGCATGGGATGTATTATCAAACAGATGGATGTAGTGACAAACTTTTGTAGTTCAGCTAAAAGGATTATTTGCACAAGAACTGCTCATGTTGTCTTTGGATGAAGGCTGGCTGGGTCACCAACGTGTCTAATATAATGAGTCCTTTACATGTGTGCAAATGGAAACATGGTTTCTCAAATAACAGACATCTTGTTCAGTCTTCATTAGGTTCCTAACCAATTTCCCTGCCACGGATAACATCATAATCACATCTAGATTAAATGCTAATCCAGACAATACAAAGGTCTTTATTAAGTATTGCTAAAGATACTGAATTAATTTCATGGCTCTAAAATAGCTCATATGAAGAACAGGCCAATGTCAGGAGTTTTTAATGAAAAACATGAAGTTTCTGATACTGTCTTTTGGTGGTGGTGGTGGTGGTGGTATTTGCAATGCTGTTTTCTTTTGGACCTGTGATGAACAAGTGGTTCTGGTATAGGGCTAAATAAAGGGGAAATTGAAAGGATTTAAATCCACATTAATTTCTTCTTCAAGGCAAATATAGCATTTCAAAATTCCCGTGGAGGAAGTGTGTATTTGCATACTTTGCAGAGGAAAAGGCTGCCAATGGGGAAACTGGTACTGATCTTGAGCTACCAAAATATTTGTGTCTGCTGTGGTGGCAACGCACAGCTTTCTAATCTTTTATCTTGAAATTAGACTGGGGATTTCCTCAGAGCCCGTCAGACTTTATCCTTCTCTGAGGGCTGTGTGCTGTTTGTCACTGGCTTTGTTAGCAATGTTTATCAAAATCTTATTATTCTGATTACATTTTTCATAAACAATTTTAAGAGAGCATTTTCTGATTTCAAAGGTTCTGTTCTGGCCTTTTTAGACTTAGAGGGAGTGCTTCTCATTCGTTAGCTAAGCAAGACCTGCCTTAGGGTTCCTTTTCCCTCCATCTTAGTAGGACTTTCATAGAGACTCCTGGGTGGGACCTGGACATAGTCTGAGCTAGAATAGTGGCTATGTGTTTAAACATGAAAGTCCTATCAGTGTTTCATAGGGTGCATTATAGAAGAAAGCTGGATTTCTGTATATGCAGTTAGGCACTGGCAGAGGCAGTGAGACACCAGTGAAAGTGCACTGAGCATCAACTTTAGACCCTCCTCAAACAGTTCGGTGAACTTGTAGTTCTTTACTGGGACCAATTCACCCACGAACATGCATAAATGAGCATCTGGTAAATACTAACAACTGCCTTTACTGTGGGTAGTCCCCAGTAGTGAGAGTAACAGCAACCGTACTCATGTGTATCATGTTTCTTCCAGTGAGCTTAGTGTCAGTGTGTCAGACACTACGCTGCAGGAAGCTCCAGATTCCCCAGTGTATCATGTCCTCACCTGTGCCTTCGGAAGTGGACTCCAGACCATACAACCAGAGTCAAAGCTCAAAGAGACTTGTGGTTTGTAGCTATTTTCAATTTCCTATTAATATCCTCATACACTGACAATGTGGACTAGGAGACAGTGACTTTACATGACAGGAAAAAGATGAGGTTTTACCAACATATAGTTTATCTTTTCTGTGTGTTAATGGCCTATCTTTGAGTAGCACATAATGGAATGTCAGAAGTGGATCTTAAATAACAGATGCTTATGTATACACTGGCTCACAATAACACAACTCTGATATTTGGGTGGTAGAAAATACTTTACAGTGAATGGACAAATGAAACTATGATGATGGAGGCATTGTATTTTAGCACAGCTACATTAAACACATTGTATTTTAGCATAGCTACATTAAACACAAAAGTAAACATGTACTGCTTCATTGAAGGGCCGCCTCTGACTCTTAAAGAGTGAAGCTTTTGTTTCCTTTTTTAGCACTAAAACCATGTCCAACATGGAGTTAAACTTAGGGATTTACCTTGACATAGCTGTAGATAAGTTTCTGTGGAATCTGTGACTACCCATGTCTCCGAGGGCCAAGTTACAGGGCAGTGTGAGAAGCCCACTGTAAATAATGGAGCCCTTCCTGGATTAGTGCACAATGTGCAAACCCACAGGGCAGACACTCTTTCTTCATTTCCAAAATTGTTAAGAACCATTTCTTTCTGGACACTGTGGCCTAAGTTCCTATCTGTCTAAGATAGATCCGAGTTCATTCTTCTCAGGTCCTTCTTTCTGTCTCAGGAGGTGCAGTATGTGTTCATTTTTGGTTAGTTCTGCTGGCAGCTCATTGTCCTGAAAGGAGATGAGATGGCCATTAGTGCAGTCCCCACTGGTGTAATTCTAGGGACTCAAAGAGGGCAGGTGACCCAGGCTTTGTCCTTCAGTGACGAGAAGCCTCCACTGGACTCCCTGATCTGGGTGGGCAACAGGGGTCCTTGTAATGAGAAGTAGCAGCTGCTGTTCTCTCAGCTCAGCACTAGCTTTGTATTTAGCCAGCTCTTTACTGTCCTGGAGGCTCCTGGAGGTCGGCCCTTTGTCTTCGAAATCACTGTATCTGCATTTTCAGCACAAATCCCAGCACACTACATCTAATAGTTGTTCAATAAAAACAGGCACTGGATTTACAAATAGTTAGCTTAATATATTAGGTGCTGTGTACAATAATAGGGAGGACTCAAGATGGGATTTTTTTTATGCCCACATTTCAACTTATATATTACTTTTGTAACACATTTTCTAGTATACGTGAAAGAGTCAGTTCTTTCCTTCTGCCACCTGGGGTCCAGACCTTGAACTTTGGTCATCAGACTGGTTGGCACTTTTACATGGGGCACAGTGTGGTCCAGAGAAACAAAGTGTAATGAATGAATCAGGATGATTGGTATCTCCATCTCCCTAAATATTCACTGATGTCTAAATATGAAGAATGTCTGTCCTGTTACTCTGTTGGGGAAGCTTCGAACATTTTTGAGTTCTTTATACAACACAGAACACATTGTATAAATGACATCACCTGTCAGCGTGACTAGAATTTCGTCCTTCCACCTCTCTGTACTTTGGTCACCTTCCTCCCTGCTTTGAGCTCTGCTCTTTATTCTCCCCCTCAATAAAAGCAACTATCTAGCTTCCACACATAGGAGGGGCATGTTGTAGTAATGCAGGAAACCAGTCAGGAAGCCTGCAGAGCAGGTGCACACCCAGGAAGGCACAGTATCCTTAGCTGCAACTTCCCACAGTCCCCAGAGTCCCCACTGAACTGATTGCAGTGCCGCCCACGGAGACATTCTTGAAGCACTTAGGGAGTTAGTTTCCGTCTCAGGTGCCACGTGTCATAAGGGAAAGAATTCTTGAACTTCCATGATTTCAGCATCGTTCTACACTCTTAAATATTATGGAACACTCTAATATGTTTTTAACTTAGAAATGAAATCTGAAAAAATGTATTCCCTAGTTAATGAAAAAAAATAAATCCACTAGTTTGGCATACAAAATATATTTCTGAAACAACAACTGCCTTTGCAAAAAAAAAAAAAATCTTAGCAATGTAGAATTGCTTAACGGTCTTCCACATTTCTTTTGTGTGGAGCTGAACGGAAGACAGCTGGATTCGTTTGCGTGGCTCCCCACGCAGGCTGTGGCAATGTCTTTGGTGGCCACGTGATGAAAACTGAGCTGCACACAGATTGGTAGCTGGGAAGGGAGGAGGGGCCTAGTGTCCACACGTGTCCCTGCAGTCAGCCTTCTTTGATTGCACAGCACCAAGTTTGCAAGAGCTGTTTCCTTTTCTTCTCCCTCAGCTCTCTATTTCTCCCTTCCCGTCCTTCCCTTTCTCCCCACCCTCCCTATTGCCAACCTGGAAGAAAGTCAATAGGACTCATGAACTTCTATAAGGAAGCTCCTTAAACTCCGAAAGTAAAGACCCAGTCTCAGCAAGTCCCTGAAACTTATAAGACAAGCACCTCACCCCCACCAAGGCTATATAAACACTAGAACTGGCAGGAAGGGCTTTCCAATTGTAGAGCTGCCTGAAAGTCAAGGAGAGAGCTCCAGGACACTGGCTTTCATGGGTCTTCACCCCATGACGGCATGGGTTGGTGGGGATACAGCCTTGGAGTCTTCCCTGCTCCTGTAAACAACCCGTGCTCTGGTACCTAAACTCAACACTGCTTCACAGGCTGGATTTTGGTGAGTCATTATTCTGATCTGTTGTCAGTTCCTTATCTGGGGATGAGCACACATTTTTCAGGTCTCTCCAGGAATAGTGTCGAACTCCCCTTCCCTCCCCTCCCCTCCCCTCTCCTCTCCTGTCCTCTCCTCCTCCCCCTCTTTATCACTTCTTCAGCTCCAATTTCCCTCCCCTCTCCTCTTCTCCCTTCCTCTCCCTTCCCCTCCCCCTCCTTTCCCCTTTTCTCCTCTCCTTTTCCCTCCCCTTCAATCCTTTCCCCTCTTTCTTTCTTTCTTTCTTTCTTTCTTTCTTTCTTTCT